TCTACCCTCTGATCTCAGCCTGGGGGACTCACCCCACATCTACCCTCTGATCTCAGCCTGGGGGACTCACCCCACATCTACCCTCTGATCTCAGCTCGGAGGACTCATCTTGTTGAAGTCCTGCTCCTAGTTCAGAGAACTCACTTGGTCCACCCCATGCTTCCAGCTCACCGGTGTCCTCGCAAAGCACAGCCTGTACTACTGACGTCAGCACTGGTGCTGGAAGAACATACCTCACCAGGGGTCACCGTTCCCTTCAGCTCCTTCCAAGCTCTGGCCCAAAGGCTTTGCTGTTATCTCCCACACCAGAAATCTGCCTGGTGTCAATACAGCCAGCTTAAGACTGTGTCAAAGCCGTTCATAGGAGGATATTTCAGCTGTGACTGCCTGAGGCAATGGATTGCAATTGGAACAAGCCAGAGCTTTGGAGACAGGCTGGACATGAGGTGCTTGGGGAATAAGGAATTGGAAAATGCTTTGGGATTCAGGATGCCGCACATATGCCTGGGCTGTGTGTTTACTCAGTAAATATCAAAGAAGCCTCCAGTGCTTTCCAGGGCTGACCTTTAGGCACGGAAGCAGGTGAGCGGAAGAATTGTCCAGGCCGCCTGGCTGAGGGCTGGCAAGGCCCCAGCTCACACAGCCCATCTGCCAAAGCTGGATTTGCTTTTCTCTCTGTGAATCTCATGAAACAGAGACATTATGGGCAGGTATGACAAGGCAAGGCATATAGACTTTACAAAATCAATGTTTTAAATTATGGGCTGTGCAAACAAACACCAGTGACTATGACGAATCATTGAATGGGGATCTGATTTCCAGAACTGCCGCTTACACTGTTCAAAAGGTCCAGTTTTCCACAACAACACTTACCAAGAATATGAAGAATAAAGAAGAATGGCTGTCACACAGGAAGAAGACAAGTAAAATGAACCATCCCCAAGGAAACCTGTAATCAGCTTCATCAGATAAGATTAAATAAACGGAATTAAATATACTCAAGACATAGCCTAGGGAAATGATGCATGCCTGTAATTCCAATTTGCAAAACTGAGTTTAAGCCATGAGTTTGAGGCTAGTCTGGGCTACAAAGTAAGTTCCAGGTCCTCTTGGGCTACAGTGTGAGATCCTGTCTCAAAAACAAAAACAAATAAAAAACAAACAAACAAAAACCCAACAATCAAAAAAGTTAAAGGAAGCCATGCCGAAGATCCAAAGAATTACAAGAATGACTCTCCCAGCAGTACCAAGGAGACAGAAATTATAAAAAGGAAGCAAGAGCATACTGGAGCTGAAAAGTATAGTAATAAGATCAAAAGCTGTAGAACTGAGCAGGCCTCAGACAGCGTTACAGTGTTGCGGGATATTTGCACATTAGGTGAAGATACATTGCTGTGATTGGTTTAATAAAGAGCTGAACGGCCAACAGCTAGGCAGGAGGTAGAGAATAGGCAGAGAGAGAGAGAGAGAGAGAGAGAGAGAGAGAGAGAGAGAGAGAGAGAGGAAGTAGGAGATAAATTGAGGTGTGCAATATACCACCTAGACAGGGATTGAGTGGGAAACACAAAATAAGAGATAAAAGCCATGGTAGAATGTAGAGTAATAAAAATATGCGTTAACTTAAGTTATAAGAGCTAGTGGGACAAGCCTAAGCTAAGGCTGAGCATTCATAATTAATAATGAGTCTCCGTGTCATTATTTGTGAGCTGGTGGCCCAGAGGAAAGTCCAATTACATCACAGGATGAAGACTAGTCCTACGAGAGCATCCCCTTAAGAGGCACAGAGGTGGAACTGAAGAGTGGGAAGCAGGCTGCCTGCAGGAAGCCAACTGCCTCGGGCTAGAGGCATCCCAAAAGGAGAGGAAAGAGGGAAAAGGTGAAGAGAATGCTTGAAAAAAACAATGCTTAAAAAAAATCCCCGGTCAGGCATGTTGGCCCATGCCTTTAATCCCAGCACTCGGGAGGTAGAGGCAGGCAGATCTCTGTGAGTTCGAGGCCAGCCTGGTCTACAAAGCAAGTTCCAGGACAGCCAGGGCTGTTACACAGAGAAACCGTGCCTCGAAAAACCAAAATAAGTAAATATAAATAAATAAATAAAATCCCCAAATCTGAGAGTCGGCTTTCTTATAGGATGCAGACCCCTAAGAGGCTACCTATGATCCAGTAGATGTCCCTACACCCATGTGCATACAGGCAGTACTAAGTGGACATGTTGGGTTAAAAAAAAAAAGAACACACGAAGGAGGGGGGCAGTGGTAGTTGGGATAGAGGAGGAACCAGAGGGAGGGAATGGGGGGTGGTGGCCATGATCAAAACACATTATATGTTTATGAAATTCTCAGACTATAAAATATCCCCACATTTGATGAAAACCATTATTCTGTGCATCAAGAAACTTGAAGCCAGATAAATCCAGAGATCCATAGTGGCCCAGCTCACACGAACTCTCTAAAGACAGGATACAAGAGTGTTTTGAAAGCAGCGAGGGGGTCACTTGTTATTCATCCAAAGGGATCTTCATGAGGGCCAGCTGTCAGGGTTCTACCAGATGCCTTGAGGCCACCAGGTGCAGGGATGGCACACAGCACACAGAGATGCCACCTGGTTTAGTTATAACCAAACAGGAGGTGTGGAAGAAGCTCCATGTACAAGCTACACTGTGATGGCTGCAGAGCACTGTTTACGTATTTTAAAAACACTGACCTGCATACTTCAAAATGATGAAACTAGTAAGTACAATTCTACGTGATTTTATGTCACACAGAATTTATTTGGAAAGCATGCAAGGTGAGGAGCTCCGGGTGAAGTCCAGGACTGTGCACGTGCATTTGCACGTAAGATTGAGGGCTGAGTTCAGTCCCCAGCACTCATGGAAGAAGCCAGAGGTAGAGTGATGCGTGCTTTTAACCCCAGGTCTGAGAAGGTAGAGACAGGTGGGTCTTTGGGGCTCACTGGAGCCAGCCTAGATGAACTGGTGATCCCTAGGTCCCAGTAAAAGATCCTGTCTCAAAACCAAGGTGGACAGCTCTTGAAGAATGACATGTGGGTGCTGTGGAATGTGTATGCTGTGAATATGTGTTGCTCTGACTGGTTGATAAATAAAGCTGCATTGGCCTATGGCAGGGCAGGATAAGGTGAGGCAGTACATTCCAACTAGAGAGAGATGAGAAGAAAGGAAGAGCAGGGAGATGCTATGAGCTGCTACCAGAAACAAGTTGTGAAAGTACCAGTAAGCCACGAAGCCACATGGCAACGCATAG